GCGAAGGCCGACAAGCGTAGGGCGAGGACCCGTCCATCGCCGCTTGCGGCTTTAATTGTCATTGTGTAGACATACAATGAAATGTGAGTGCACCCTGCTTCATAAATATATTAAAATTAGAAAAATATTAAAAAGTGAAAACGAATAAAAATACTGAAAGAAGAGATAGATAGAAGATAGAGATAGATAGAAGTAGAAATCAAAAATTCTAAAAACAGAATAAGAAATGCTAAAAATGAAGTGCTACACTGTACATTAAATAGAATAAGATGTGTAAATAAGTGCATAAATACAGCGGAAAATAGATTAAATTAATTCAGAAAAGAGTAATAAATAGATAAAATCCATCATATCACAAGAGGTTAGCTGACTCATACAGTCAGTACATCCAAACGACACAACTTTAAAGTTTTTTCACACTACGTAAAGATGACATGTTGTTTTATTGAAATAATGAGATATTGCAGGAATTAACCAGAAGAATCTAAGCGAGAATGAACTAAAAAGTGGAGTTTAAGTGGAGTTGTCGTTGTTGGATAACTTCTATCACTTATGTAGTTTCTCTGCAGGGTTTGAGGTCTGTTTCCTTCCTGTAACTCCTCTTTTTTTGTTGTTTTTTTTTCCCTCTCTCTGCCCTCCAGGCCTGGTGAAGGCTCCCCTGAAGAGGTCTCGGTCGACGGCGGACGGCGCGGACGAGGACAGTCAGGATCAGCTTCAGGAGCAGCTGTTGGAGTCCGGAGGCCCCGAAGAGGAGCAGAGGACCGACAACACGTCACTGCTGAGGCTGCTGGAGGAGGGAGAGAAGGTCAGAGAGACGCCCAAACACTATTACAGTTTATTCATTACTGACTTCCAGCACTGTTGTGTATTTCTATCAGCGTTGTTGCATTAATTTCAACAATTTTCACTCATTTTAGTATTTATTGTATCTGAAATAGTTTATTATAGCCCTAACATAGCATTTTTAATTATTAAAATAGCAAATGCTCATTTTCTCTATCATAGAATACACATTTGTTTAATTAGTTATTCTCATTTGGTTCTTTTGCAAAAGACGATTCAGTGAAGCAGAAAGAAAGAGACTAACGATAAGACGGAGAACAATACACAGCATCAAAACAATCAGAGACTCTCTAGATTTTTATATTTTCATTAATGAGTGAGGCTCAGATTGTATTTATATGATGCAAAGAGCCTGAATGCGCAGGATCTGCTTTAATGAACAGAATAGATTTAATTAACTATTTAAATAAAGATTAAACTCTCCTGCATAATGACATTTCTTTTCATTTTTAATTTGTTTCTGAACGTTACGAGCTCGCAAATTGGCAGCTTTGAGCAGCATTAAAACATAAATTCGTCTTTGAAACAGCCTTAATAGTTACTTTAGTTAACAACATTTGCATTTTAATTAATAGTGGAGGGTTTTATCTGGAATATTTAAACTTGTCGATCTTGGAATAAATCCCTTTGGCTTTGTTTTGGTTCATATGTCTAAAGAACGTTAACTGGACTTCTGTATATCCTGCTTTTTGTCGTCCATCAGGGCACTTCGTAAACCTTTTGTAAATGACTGTATAAATAAAGTTATTGTTATTATTATGATCATAGATAACACTACATACATTATTCCTTGCAGGCTTTTAACGTGTGTAAAAAAGCCACTATAGAGCACACTGAAGGAAAAAGAAATACCCACAAAGCATTAGAAGGGTTCTTTAAAGCAGAACTCACCTTTAAATGTTGGCTCTAATGTAGGGAGACGTAGCAGCTGCTTAAATGATACTGCAGCAAAAATGAAGTAAACGAGGCTTTTCAGAGGCAGTTTGTTGCATGTTGCTGTGACTAAATTTGACTGTGTTGCGTCTTGTTTTGGAAATCTTTAATTCACCATCAGGCCACACCAGTATTCCTCAGTAAAGTTTATTTTTTCGCTTTGTCGCAGCCACAAAAACCCATCCAGGCACACGCATTTAAATCAATTAGTGCTGCAACTCAACAGGAGCACCTGGGGATTAAACGTTGTTGCACAAAGCTCTGCAGAAACCCCATTTCCTCACTCGTGTACTTGTTCTTTGAGTTTGTTTTGGGGTTTTTTTTGCCCAGAGGAATTCAATCTAAGAACTTTTAATCACAAAATTGCTTCCTAGGAAAGTTTTAGCTAATTAACTGTTTGTCACATCCGACCGTTCCAGATTCAGCACATGTACCGCTGCGCCCGGGTTCAGGGTCTGGACACCAGCGAGGGGCTGCTGCTGTTCGGCAAAGAGCACTTCTACGTCATCGACGGCTACACCATGACCGTGTCCCGGGAGATCAGGGACATCGACACGCTGCCGCCCAAGTAGGTTCCACGTCTCATCTTGTGATGCTGTGAATTTTTCCAGAGCTGCAGCTGACAGCGACTCGGCTCTCTGAGCTGAAGATGACATCATTCCTCTGGACGCTGCAGTGGGAGTTTGCGATGATGTAATGCTGCTGAAGGAGCATGCTCGGCAACGCTTTTAACATATTTATCTCTTTATGGAAGTCGCCCTGCCCGTTCCGGCGGGACATTCGCCAAGAATCAGTTCCCAGCAGATGGCTCTGAGATTTTGTTGGTCTCCTCAGGTGTTTGAGTGTTTTAGCGCCCTGTAGCTTCCTCAAAACCCTCTACAGCCGCAGCGTCCTCAAGGGCTGAAATGATCAATTAATTAGCTGATTACCTCATCAGTGTAAAAGTGGTGGACTTTTTGTGGTTTCAGCTTGTTGAGTATTAGTGTTCACATGCTCTCCTGGTAAATGGAGCAAATTTGTAGGGTTTTTTAAAAAAGCAATTTAAAGACACTGTATCGTGTGTATGGTTGTTTTTGTTTGTTTGTTTGTTTTCATTTTAAGTAAACACAGTAGCAGTGCTCTCGGCCGTCATACTTTACAGCGGTTGTTTTTCATTTGTTGTGAAAATCTTTTTTAAAGCCCTTTTAGATGCAAGTTCTTGATGGGTTGAAGTTTAACTGAATGAACAGCTCCTACCTTTTCAGATTTTGATGTTTCTGGCTTCATTAATCTGTTAAAGTGACATCACTGTGTCATTCAGACATTCTAGTTCCTCACAGCTTCATTCAGACACCACAGTGATGGAGAGAGCTTCTTCATACATCTGATATTTGACATATATGCAATAGTTGACAGTAAATCAAATTTTAAGGAGCTGCTGATAAACAAAAACTAAACCAAAGCCAGTAGCAAGCCTATCAGTATAGAGGATAATAACAAATGACTTGTTCTTTTATTCACCTCAGACAGGTGAGCACAGTTTATAACCTACACTTAAACATTTTGCTAAATCTCATCCGTCCTCAGGTTGATGAAGCTCCATCACAGCTGGCAGGATATTATTTTACTAGAAGATTTATTATAACATTTTTTATTGCAAGATTATTTTGATTTCATGGTCTCACAGCTAATTTTTTGCTAGCATGGACTATGTACAGAGCAACCTCATTTTAATCAACTACCAAAACATTGTTGCTCTTGGGATCTCCATGCCTTTCCCTCAAATGCAGCTTAGACTCGTTCCATGTTGAATGCAATGCCTAAATATTACAGAGACGTGACCGTGATGCTCATTCAGACATGAAGCCGACACGTTCAGATGCCGTCAGATTAACGGAAAGCGGTTTCTGCCTTTGTGTCCAGTTTGCACGAGGCCATCATCCCCAGAGGAGCGAGACAAGGCCAGAGCCAGCTGAAGAGAACCTGCAGCATCTTTGCCTACGAAGACATCAAAGAGGTTCACAAGAGACGCTACCTGCTGCAGGTCAGAGTGCAGGAACACACTCCGATTTTAAAATATAGGAATTTAAAAAAGGTTTACACTGAGTATTGAGCAACTCTTGTGGTGCTAACATTTCACCCACCGCCTTATTTGTGTGCATATAAATATCGTGTGTGTCGTCTTCTTTCAGCCGATGGCGGTGGAGGTTTTCTCAGCAGATGGGAGGAACTACCTGTTAGCATTCCAGAAAGGGGTTCGCAACAAAGTTTACCAAAGGTACTGAAGCACCTGCTGCAGGAACAGTCCAAAAAAACTGAAGATAAAGAAGTTTTTGGCCTCTTTTCAGCCTTCAGCATGAAAAGCACTGATTTGTTTACTTCAGAAACACTGCAGGGTTATGTGATAATGTATTTCAATGATTTTTAAGAAGGTGGTTGTGCGATAGTAAAAATTAAATCCTCACAGAGCAGAGATATGCTTCTCATTTAAAGTCTGGTCACCATGTTTTCTCTTCACTTTGATGCCAGGATTGTTTTTATGAAGTTGCACTGGTGTGTATTTGATATAAAGAAATTCAGAGATGTTTATGTATATTTTCCCTGCAGGTTCCTGGCGGTGGTTCCATCGCTGGCTGACAGCTCAGAGTCGGTATCAGGTCAGAGGCCCAACACCAGCGTGGAACAAGGGTAAGGCCTCCTCCGCAGCTCGCTATCATTGAATTTTTCATTCCACCTTCTCCACTTTTTGGATGTTGTGAGATGATGAATAGAGCGAGCAGATATCCGTATTTACAGCCTTGTTTTAATCTTTGTGTTAATGCACATTTATAAATAATGAATGGTGCTTTCTGCAGTAATTAATCAAGTTAATGACTCGGCACAAAAAAGTACAAATGAAACCACTCCACCCTACGTTGAACAAATGCAATTAATGAAGAGCTACTATGCAGTTTTAACTAATCATCCTCTCTGTGTTTTGTCAGATCTGGACTTCTCAGTACGTTAGTTGGCGAGAAGTCGGTGACTCAAAGATGGGAGGTAAGAACCTGGATCTGACACAGACAGCCTCTCTGGGATGCTTCATCCAAATCCGAACCCCTCTGATGTGTGTGTGATCTGTTTTCCAGCGAGGGGAGATCAGTAACTTCCAGTACCTGATGCATCTGAACACTCTGGCCGGACGCTCCTACAACGACCTGATGCAGTATCCGGTGTTCCCCTGGATCCTGGCCGACTTCGACTCAGAGGTGGGTTTTTTATGTTCTGCGGTGTTTCAGTGAGAACGCAGCCGGCAGTTTTTATACCGGCACCGCCTGCAGGCTGCAGTGTTAAGGTTGTTTGTGTTGTGTTTGGTCACCAGGAGTTGGACCTGAACAACCCTAAGACGTTTCGTAACCTCGCCAAGCCGATGGGCGCCCAGACGGACGACCGGCTGACGCAGTACAAGAAGAGGTACAAGGACTGGGAAGACCCCAACGGTAAGAGAGACAAGACTTTTATCTGTGGTTTTAAGTTAAAAAGAAGTTTAATTCAAGCTAGGCACACTTTGCATTTTTGTCCTGAATCTATTGGATGAATGAAGCCCATAATAAACAGTAGTTCTGTTTCCTTATGATTCTCACTGAAATTCGAAGCAAGCATCTAAAAAAAATCACAAAAATGTTCCACGTACTGTTTTGAAGCAAACAAGCCAGGCTGTGTAGAGTCATCAGAGGGTGGCCCTGTAGGCTTTGTTCCTGAAAACGTAGAGGTCGCGAAGTGGGAACAAAACCAGTCGTTCATCAAGAAGAAGAAGAAAAGAGCAAAACCTTCTACATCGTCAATGACAGAAAAATGAAAGGAGGTCTTCAGTGATGTTTTTATCTGAACAAGGTGGAATTATTCTGACCATCATTCGTGTGACTTAAATGTTCGCTGTGTCAGAATTTGTCCAAGAAAGCTGTGACCCCATCTTTCATTTTTTAAAGTTTTGCCATTTCTTTTAACCTTTGTCATGCAATACTTCAGTGAGCTTGTAAAAATAGCTTGTGGAAACACAGTAACTGTTTACAGTTTTGGTTGTTTTCCAATTTGTCGAAGCCCAAAAATCAAAAGAAATAACCAAATTTACAAGAATGCGATCTAATTAAAACCGCCTTCTGGTTCTCTGGCAGTTTGACTCCCTGATTCCACTTGTTTTTCTCAGTAACGGCTAAAATTCAGAACTTCATGCACAGGTCAAAGTTGTGTTTGTGAATGTATTGATTTCTGTGATTCCAGGTGAAACCCCAGCGTACCACTACGGCACCCACTACTCCTCAGCCATGATCGTAGCCTCCTATCTGGTCCGGATGGAGCCCTTCACGCAGATTTTCCTCCGACTTCAGGTACTTTCCAAGAAAACCTACTGACTGTTTAGCTTTTACAAGAAGTTTCTAGAATGTTGTACAACCCACAAAAAAGAGAGACTGGAAATTTGTAGTGACAGTCAGCTCAACTATAAAGTGTAATAAATAGCTTTTATTAATAGGAATATACCTGTTTTCTTACCGAATAGTGGACGATTGTTTTCAGTCTTATCGTAAAAGTTGGGTTTCCTGTACTTTTAGCTAATTTTAACACTGATTGAAAAGAATTCTCATCCTTCTAGCACAAACAAAACGCTACTACATCAGAGAGTTAAGATAAAAACCAAGAAGAGAAAATGTTTATGTTCTCCAGTTTGTGGATCTAAACATCAAACCATGTATCTTTGTGTTTGTGTGGTTACCAGGGAGGTCACTTCGACCTGGCTGACCGGATGTTCCACAGCGTTCGTGAAGCCTGGCTCTCTGCCTCCAAACACAACATGGCCGACGTCAAGGAGCTCATCCCTGAGTTCTTCTACCTGCCCGAGTTCATGCTCAACTCCAACAACTTCGACTTGGGTCGGTATCAGAACAATATAAGTCAAAACAAAGTGGATTATCGTTGGCGTTCTAATGTTTTCCTGTTGTTTGATGCACCAGGTGCCAAGCAGAACGGCACCAAGCTGGGCGACGTGATCCTCCCTCCGTGGGCCAAAGGAGACCCCCGAGAGTTCATCAGAGTCCACAGAGAGGTAGGACGTCGACCCACCCGTTGCTATTTTAAGTCTTGAATGGGCCTTAACCTTCGTCCTCGTCCGCAGGCGCTGGAATGTGACTACGTGTCCGCTCACCTGCACGAGTGGATCGACCTGATCTTCGGCTACAAGCAGCAGGGCCCGCCGGCCGTGGAGGCGGTCAACGTCTTCCACCACCTCTTCTATGAGGGTCAGGTGGACATCTACAACATCAACGACCCGCTCAAAGAGACGGCCACCATCGGCTTCATCAACAACTTCGGACAGATCCCCAAACAGGTTGGATACTGGCGAATGTCTGGACATGCTAAACATCTTCTACTGCTGCATATCTGTCGCTGCTACTTTTAATGTCAGTTCTGTTAATTCTGCGAAAAGTTCTGCCTCTTTAGCCACATAAGGAGAGCTATTTCACATTTAACAGCTAGACTGGATGGATGTTTTGCAGATATCCGTAATTTGGTTCCTCCTTGTCAAAAGGAACATTGAGATATCAACATCCTATTACAGATATCTACAGTTATGACTAGTTTTAATTCCAGTTTAATCCCGACTAGTCATAACTGTAGTTCAAGATATCTTTAATTCCCATCAGTTCAAGACATCTGCATTGTTCCTTTTGGGATATCTTTAATGAGGTTTGAAAAAGTCACAATGAGAGTTAAAATGTAATTACAGATATCTTGAATTAAGAGTTTTGACTTTGTGAAATGACATTGCAGATATCTGTAGTTACATTAGACGCTAAAGCAAGTTGGTTTGCTTTTTAAACATACTGCGACATTTGACAAGCTGTTTTAAAACTACGTCAGAGCAGCTCAAGGCCGAAGTTCTTGGAAATTTCAACCGAAAGTCTGTAAAGAAAGAAGCTCTCGACCTCTGTAAACTCCTTTCTGATGAGCTCTTCTTATTTCACTACGTTTTTTAATGATGTTATCCACCAGAAACCGACATTACTTGGAAGCTTCACATGAACAATGCCATGCACAATGATGTTAGCAATATCTGTAGCTATTATTTTGACTGATGAAAAATGGATTGCACATCTGTCGTTTTGACTGGTCAGAACGACATTATGAATATTTGGGATAAAATCCAGACTAGTCACAGTGAACTGGTAACTCCAGATACTCTGTTACCACTGTTATGTGCACTAAAGCTCTTATTTCCATCAGTTTTAATGCGAATATCACCAAACCAGAACTTAAAGCTTGGTTACTACCCCTAAAAATACTTCAATATCTAGATTTTTTTCCACATTAGCAGCTATGAGCATGTTTTTGGAAGCTAAAATGTCTCTGGTTTGATTCCCGGTTTCAGTCCATTCTCTGCATGTCATTATCTAACCGTCTTTCTCCACTTTCTCTATGAAATACGTGGCCAAATTAATTTGTGTTAAAGTTGCCAGCACCAAATATTTAGGCCAAGTCAGCCCCACAGTACAAAGTATCTAAGAAAAAACGAATCTGGCAGTTTGTCTACTTTTCTTTAATGAGCATTGCAGCCTCTCGGAGTCTTTTAAAAATACAAAACCACATCCAAATGGTGGTTTATTGCTGGAAAATCTCCCCATCGTGTTTCTTTATCATGTTAAAGTTGCTGTTAAATCACCGACTGTGAATGTGTGACTGTATTTCAGCTGTTTAAGAAGCCTCATCCTCCCAAACGGGTTCGCAGTAAAGCCAACGGAGACGTCGCCGGCGTTCCTCCGAGCTCCAGCAGCGACAAGATCTTCTTCCATCATCTGGACAATCTCAGACCTTCACTTGCTCCTGTTAAAGGTAAATGCAGACACAAATACGTACTCTTTTAGCTCAGTCTATGCTAGAAAACTCCCGTGTTCTTTCTGTTGCATCCTGTTTTTATACATGTGGGATTCATTCTTCTGTCTTGGCGTAAAATTCCTACATTTTCTATAAGCGTGAAGGTGCTACAATCTTACCCCATTTACACCTAGTTTAACAGATAGTCTGTTTCTGGATAAGACAAATCTAAACAAGTGAATTTATATAGAACGTTTTAACAGTATAAGGCAAACAACAACAAAAACAGGTTCCAAAAAGCACGACAGAAAACTGGATAAAACTGAAAAAAGCAAGACAAACAGGATCAACACTTGGAGCTCGATTACTTAAATAAAATAAATACGAAATACTCAAACAATACCACCACTAATAGCTAATAAGGAAAATGTAGATGTCTTGAGATTTTCCTTATAAATGACAAAGGAGACGGAGCATTTGACAGAGAAATGCTAATCCAAAGCTTAGGAGAAAGATTTCCACCTAGTATTAGGTCTTTGTATTGCATGTGTTGGCATTAAAATGTATTTTCTGCATCTGATTTGATCTCTATTTGAGTGAAGGCTGGCAAACTTGTCAAAAAAAGTTCCGTTTTTTATCCGATTGCTGAGGTAACGTAGCTGCTAAGACTCGTAGCTTTGCTTGAGTTAGCAGGAGGAAGCAGAGTTAAGTCACCTCTTAACTTACTGGAGGATTTTTTTCCTTCACAACGTGGTCACACTTCACAGATTTAACTTCCCTCAGCTCAGATCAGATCACAATACAAGCCTGAGCAGCTCCAAGTGGTGTCATCTGATGACATTCAGATATTAATACCAGGTGTAAACGCCGTCCACAAACTGCGTGACTCACGTGTTTCTCTGTTTTCACCGTGTCCAGAGCTGAAGGAGCCCGTGGGGCAGATCGTCTGCACCGACAAGGGCATCCTCGCCGTGGAGCAGAACAAAGTCCTGGTTCCTCCCACCTGGAGCAAGACCTTCGCCTGGGGATACGCGGACCTCAGCTGCCGTCTGGCCAACTATGAGTCTGACAAGGTCAGCGGCGCCAGTTATTATCTCAGCCTCTTCTCAGAGACACTCCTTTAATCCCCAGACTGCAGCTCCTCTGTACCACTGACCTCCATTCCCTCACATGTGTCCTGACCTTATTTTTAATGCTGTCACGCTTGGTTTTGTTAGAAAAATGTGCACACAAGTTTTACTGACTTATTTACCCAAAGTTACTGAATTATTAGATTTATGGATTTTCAGCTCTGCTACTTAAACGAAACATGAACTACTGGAGGTTTGCTGCTTGTTTAACCTTGAAACTAATGTGACTGTGAACGATTACTAAATGCAATGTTTCCCCCTGCTGGTGATTTAATAAAAATGCATTTTATTTTTAGAGGTTCAGCCACAACTACAGCATGAAATGATAAAAATAATAATTATTATTTATTTATTTGTATTTTTTTTTATCATTTATTGTTATTTTATTTTTATTTATTTTTTATTTTTATTTTTTACATTTATTTATTTGTCTTTACATTTCTACTTTTATTAGCCTTTTCTTTTATGGATTCATTTTTGATTAATATTGCTTTATACTGCCACATTATTTATTTTTTATTTTATTTATTCTTCTTTTTATTCTTCTTTTATTGATTTATTTTTGTAATTTGGCACTCTCACTACGCCATAACAGCATCTTAACTGCATCTGTTACTCAAGTTTGTCACCAAATTCGCATTAAAAATGTGTTCCAGCACATTATATACCAAAGTACACCTGTACACCTCTCAGAAGTCTAACAGTTTCCTCTGCAGAATATGGTAAAGAAAAAAAAAAAAGCAATTCAGATGTTCTACTTTCTTTATTTAATTTTACTCAGTTTATTGTAAATCTTCTCAACTCTTTCACAAACCTTATATTTTAAGTTGCATAGGTGCAGAGCAAGATGGAAATGATGGGATGTAGACAAACTTATTTCCTAAAACTGCCAAAATGCTCACGTCTGCAACTGAGCTTTATTTTCCATCTTGTTTCAGGCGCTGGTCGTGTATGAGTGTCTGTCGGAGTGGGGTCAGATCCTCTGTGCCATATGTCCGAACCCGAAGCTGGTGATCACCGGCGGCACCAGCACCTCCATCTGTGTGTGGGAGACGGGAAGCTCCAAGGAGAAGGCCAAGTCCATTACACTCAAACAGGTAAACACGAGGAGAAAGTACCAGGAGCAGCTTTAAGACGATGCACCTCGGTCTCAAAAAGCCAAAGATACAAGCGTTGCTGCATTTAATAGGAACCTAAAGACGACACTTTCAAAAAATACACCCAGCTGTGAAAATGAGTTTGTTTTATGGGTCAAGGAGTGATTAATTCAGCAAATATTATGCTCTGTGAATCTCTGGGGTTTCTGTTTTACCGCCTCCACGCTGAACTTTCTCAGATTCCCCTCAAGGCTAATGAAGAAAGTCCTCCGATCTGAGCTGATTAGACAAATTATTTCCATCTTTTTTCTTCTGTCTCAGGCGTTGCTGGGCCACACGGACGCCGTTACGTGTCTGACGGCGTCGTCGGCGTACCACATCGTTGTCAGCGGCTCGCGGGATCGAACCTGCATCATCTGGGACCTCAACAAGCTTTCGTTCGTCACGCAGCTCAGGGGACACCGAGCACCCGTGTCTGCTCTGTGTATTAATGAGCTGACGGTGGGTTTTCAGCATAAATGAGTCCTCTGGGGCTCCAGAAACTTACTCCAAGACCATAAATATTAGCTGAAGAACACAGGATTTACATTGCAGTTGCAGTTTTTCATGGAGCTAAACGGGGTTTTGTGTTTGTACAGGGGGATGTGGTGTCCTGCGCCGGAACCTACATCCACGTGTGGAGCATCAACGGCAGCCCCATCGCCAGCGCCAACACCTTCACCGGCCGCAGCCAGCAGATCCTGTGCTGCTGCGTGTCGGAGATGAACGAGTGGGACACGCAGAACGTCATCGTCACCGGACACTCGGACGGCGTCGTCAGGGTAACCGAGCACTTCCTGTCTCTTCACTTTTTCACGTCATAAATGCCGTACGCCTTTGATTGATAAATTCTGCCTAATCATACCTATACTTTAATTTCGTCTGGTAGTTTTGGAGGATGGAGTTCCTACAAGTCCCAGAAACCCCTGCTCCAGAGCCGGTGGAGCCAGACGTGCCTGACTGCTGCGACGAGAAGATCGGTGAGGAAATAATGAACTGTTTAGAGATGTTGGATTGAAGGAGCCCTGAGATATATTAAATTGATGAAGCTCAACGCTACACAGTGACGCAAAGTTGCTTGTGTATTTTTACCCCCTAAAGGTTGTAGTAAGATTTTCTTGAGGACTGCTTTTACGTTTCCTTGCAACACACTTTACATTCCTTCTGATCCATATGAACATCTGGTGTGTTGGTCCAGTCCCGCTATAGAAACCTACCAGTTTAGGGAAACGCTCTGCAGATGCTACGGAAAGAAAAGATGTGACACTTATTGGGATGCATTTGCTGCTCATTTAATTGTAAAAGTTTAATCGACAGTCAAAGTAGTGCAAGGAAGCACAAATCAAAAAAATGTTGACATTACTCATGTGACGCTTCGTATATTTACAAAATAAATTTAATGCTACGGCTTTCATAATAAGGGTTTTTTTGCAGCCGATCCAATCCAAAACATTTAATTATCTAGTATCTGCTGATACATTTTCTTTGAAAACACACACTTTAAGTATTGTAGATTAGCTGTAGTACCTGGTTGCGCCACCAGGTGGAGCCTCTTCTTATTTGGTACTGTAGCAAACCAGAGGAGATGGGATGTTCCTAAGAGCATTGTGGGGGTTTAGCGAGTAAAGGGGCACCTGCTTCTGTGGTCTATACCAACAAAAAGTTTAGGTTATTATTTATTATTGATTGATGTTGCTACATGTTTAAAGTAAATTATTCAGATGTTCAACGCTAGCGGACGTGAAAGGATCGGGTTTAGGTTCTTGCCTTGATCGACGTCCTTACATTTGAAAAACACGTTCCTTTGTCTCTTAGAAGGTGGCGAGAGTCACAATGGTGACGACGACAGCAGCGAGTCCGACGGAGACGAACCCTGTCAGGAGCCCAGAGCGCCACGAAACCCGTCGACGGGTGGAGGCAGCCAACCGGGCAGCACCGTCCACAGACCCAGAGGTACCACATGTCAGATATCTGCTCAACATGCACCGTCTACGGTTGATTTGGAAACAGTTTTGTCCTTTAAAATGAACGCAGAATGAGCAGAAGGGATGATAACACCTTTTAACATTAAGTATACATCAGAATCGATCCCAGAGTAGAAATTGCTGACGTTACAGCTGCTCCCATTCAAAGTAGAAACTAGAAAAAGTGTACGCATAAAATATCAACATGTGCGTTGTACAAGGAAAATACATCGATACAATTGAAACCAAAAGTAGAGTTGTAAAAAATTCTCTCTCATTATTCTGGCGTTTAACAAATAGAAATAATTTTGGTAATCCTAACTGAGCTAAAACAGTAAAGTTTATTCTGATTTAATGTCAGACTGTGAGGAAAATAAAAGGTTTTATGTGTCTTTTTATACAGTGTACGTAAACTTGTGGTTTCAACTGTATGTATGCAGTGTAGTAAAAGATAATGGAGTTATAATTGTGTGTTGATGGTTAGCTAAAGAAGGGAACATGAATTAACTGCTGGCAGGTAAAACTTTCAAGTCAGAAAAAAGGAATACACAGAATCAGCTTTAAAACACTGCTTACGACTACTTCTGTATCCTTCAAAGTCTCGGCTAAATTCAAAAATGGCGCCACAAAGGACTATTGACTATGCGTCTCGTGCATTTTTGATGTATTTTCTTTGTTTAAAGTGTTGACGTACATGTTCTAACACCTTTAAAGGTCCGTCAGCCCGAACGGGAGCGTCCTGGTCGATGGACAGCGGCTCCGACGACTCCCACCGCTGGTCGGACACCCTCAGCATTGACGAGAAGGACGGCTTCGTGTTCGTCAACTACTCCGAGGGCCAGACCAGAGGCCCTCACCCTCACCCTCACCCTCACCCTCACCCGGCTCACCCCGGCCAGGGCCCGGTGCCACAGCCTCTCCACCCCAGCGCCATGGAGGCCCGGCCGTACAACCAGCTCAGGGCGGGTGGGTGTCTGTCTGCAGCATCCCCACCAGCGATTTCAGCTTTCAAGCCTTCAGAGCGAACATAATTGAATTGCCGATCTAGTGACGGAGTGTTTGTCAAAATGCTAAATGTGTGTTTGTTGTTGTGCGTCCGCAGGCTACAGATGGGAGCGCCAGCTGGTCTTCCGGAGCAAACTCACCATGCACACGGCGTTCGATCGCAAGGACAACGCTCACCCAGCTGAGATCACCTCCCTCGCCATCTCCAAGTAAGACGGCTTTTGTTTTTGTAAATAAGAACGTTCATTTGAGGCATCTATACATAGCTGCCTCTAAATAAACTGACTTAGCTAGCCGCCGCGGTGCTCCACACTCTGTCAACACGAGGTAAAATTAGCTCAGCTCAGAGGGACTTTTTTAGGTAAAGTGAGCTTTAAAAGTAGAAAAATAATCCTCCACAAAGGAATTTGTGGCAAGTTTAGTTTGGATTTTATTTATTCTGGCATTATGGGTGATCTTTGCTTTAAAAAATAGTCAGAATGTGGTAGCACAGACTGAGTGTGGCGACGCAAAGGGTCATTCAGAGCTGCTTGTCAATCCAGGTTTCCTAAGAAACATTGAGGCCTTTCTGGTAAGAAAATTATGGTCAGAAATAACGGAAAAGAAGATTTCTGCAAGAAAAGGTGGCGCAGACTCAATGTCACCAAGTAAAGGGTCAGAAAAAGCCTGCTTTTCAACCCAGGTTTACTGAGAAGTGTTGAGGCCTGTTTGGTCATCTAAAAACAAATAAACTAGTCATTACCTAATTTGAGCTGCTTGTAGCATCTTTAATAGTATTCCATCAGCATCAGTTTTAATTATTTAGAGTTATTCAGAAACCTTTTTGTAAATAAGAATGCTCATTTGATGCTTCTAGTCATAGTTACATATAAATAAATGGAATCAAGTCGTTGCAGTGTCGCCCAGTAATCTGTCAACACGCTTAAATGCAGTCGAAGTGAATATTTTAGAGACGAAAAATGTTATTCTGTCTGTTTTCGTCACACCAACCTCTTCTTCCTCTGTTTTATCGCCTCCATCAGGGACCACAGTAAGATCCTGGTGGGTGACGGTCGCGGCCGGGTGTTCAGCTGGTCAGTGAGCGACCAGCCCGGCCGGTCGGCGGCCGACCACTGGGTGAAGGACGAGGTGGTGGACAGCTGCTCCGGCTGCACGGTTCGCTTCTCCCTGACCGAGCGACGCCACCACTGCAGGAACTGCGGGCAGCTCTTCTGCCAGAAGTAAGATCAGTTTCATTTTCTCCACTCTGGGATGCTCTCAGGTTGAAAATGTCCCAGCGAGATGCATGCTCAGGTGTTAGTGATTGAATGTGGTATAAATAGCTGTGTAAGGACATTTAGATCCAACTCAAATCTCAAAATACTTTCCTCAGAGGAAGTATTTTTAAGGCTTTTATGTTCTACATTTTCTTTTTTTTTTTTTCATGTCTAATTTTGTAGGGTCTTATTTTTTTTTAATTTGTCAATTCCTGAGAGAAGGTATTTTTGTAAACCTTTTAGTTTCCATTTCTTCTTTTGGAAAACGCAGATTATCAGGTAATCTGTATTTTACATAATATTGTTGGTTCTCAACTCTAATATTTAAAATACTTAGGTACATTTATATAATGCATAATATTGTAGGGTTTCACAATGTTATTCTTATTTCTGTTTTTTAGAAACCACTTTGGCTCAAACACTTAAATGCAATATTAATGACTCCATGTTGGTTTTTTTTTTTTAAATTCTGGTGTTCCTCAGGGCTCAATCATGGGTCCTCTGTTGTTTCTCTTTACAAGCTTCCATTGACTTAAAAAAAATAGTGAATTATGTTTTATTGGATTATAAATCTTAATAATGCTGTAATCTATGCATGTTTCTCTCGCTTTCTAGTAAATCATCAGTTCATCAGTTAAAAAATAACACAAATGATAAATTAGAGTGGACATTAGGTTGTATCCCGATGTTGGTGTTTCAAGATTTGCTTCTAAAATGTCTCTACTTCATCATCCTCAGGGCTGAAACGCCCTCCCAGTAGATCCCCACAAATTCTAAATACATGAGTTCTATCCTGAGGTCTTTAAGCGTCACGGAAGACTTAATTAATCAATTAACCGATAATCGTAATACGAATAAAAATGTTAAAAAACTATAAAAACCAATAGTTTAAGTCGATTCATATTTTGTCACTATTGGTTGTTTATTTGGTGTAAATAACAGCACAGATTATTCAGTAGTGATTCTGCTGTGAGCTGTGTATGTTGGTACATTTGTTTAAAGAGGTTTTTCCTTCGTCACTGTGGGTCATGTTTTAACAGTTTGATCCATTTTGTGACTCAGCTAAGTTTCAATCCGTTGCAAAGCTGCTTCATTTATGTTTGTCTTTTATTTTTTCTGGTGAGAAACTGAACATTTCCAAATCTCTCTTCTCTTCTCTCAGGTGCAGTCGCTTCCAGTCGGAGATCAAACGTCTGAAGATCTCGTCTCCGGTCCGGGTTTGTCAGAACTGTTACTACAACCTCCAGCACGAGCGAAGCGTCGAGGACGGCTGCAGGAACTGAAGCTCCGCCGCCGCCGCCGACCCAAGTTTAAAGAAGAAAAAAAAAGTTTGAAGTTTCCTCCATCTGCTTCGTCGTTCCCGTCGGCACCTCCACACGACTCCAAACACCAGAACTCTCCTTCATCCACGTTGCTGTAAAACACACTGAAGCAGGAGGGAACGAGAAAAAATAAAAAACCACACCTGCACTCGACATCTGGAGGAAAAAAAAAAACACCGTTAAGAATCAATCACCGGCTTCGAGATCCAGAATTTCCCCGCAAGATCTGAGAAAGAATAAACTTGTTAATAGTGTAAATACTGACCATGGCCTTTTTAACTCCAAGAGGAACAAACACAGAACAAAAATTAAAGGTCAATGAGGAAAAAACAACAACTTGCCTGTAACATAGCGTTGTGACTAACCACTCCTGGCTTTAAAAAAAAAACAACAAATCGATTGTGTGTCGTCCGAGTCACGACGAGTCCGGAGGATTAACACGAAGAGGGAGGGAAATGAATGTCAATACTAAATGTCTGTGGGTTTGTTAGTGGCTCTAGTTATGCAAATTTGACTTCTTTTTCTTTATGATTTTGTCGTTTACAGAAATGTGAGTTCTGTTCTGTGTGTGTTGCCCACAGTGTCAAGCCATCAGCAGCACGGAGAGATTTCCCATCACATCCTCTTCTCCTTTCATTTAGTTTGTTTTGCCAAATAGTTGTTTTTTTTAACTCTATCATGTGTTCTGTCCTTTATATGAATTCCTATTTGAAGATTTTTTTTGTTGTTGCTGCTGCTTTCTGAAAACTGGACATTTCAGACGTTGTTTCGAACCATATCGTTTATTTCGAGAGAAGAGCGTCACAAGATAGCGAGGCCGTCGTGTCGTTACTGTTAGCAGCTTCTTGAATGCACAAAGAAAAGGGAATTTAGCTGCTGCTGGTTTTACTTTTTATTTATCTCGGATTTGCTGGACTTTACGCGGCATTATCACAGCAGCTCGACACACTTTAAACCTGCAGAGAGGAGTTTGTGTGGCGTGAAATATCTCGTTTTGTCCCCGAAGACGGAGCGGCAGTTTGTAGCATTAAATCACATTTCATTCACGACATTTTGCGCTAGCTCGTTAGCCGCGCGTCGGAGGAGAAGAGTTGAATCTGAGCGTTAACTTGTTTCACGTCTTAACCCTCTGAACTCCGAGTCTCTTGAATGTTTTTTTTTTATTCC